ATTCCTATTTAACGTCAAAGTCAGTTGCATCAGTCTTTAATTGAACTTGTTTCGAAGTGAGTAACTATTTGTTTAATGGTATGAATCCATGAATTAAGATACAGATAGGAAATCATTTCGACTCCTAGTAACACTAGCATTTCTAATGTAACCGCAAAATATAAGGGTTTACTAAGTAACTGGATGTTCCTGCATCTCAGAGTTGATGTTCACTCTGGGACTCGAACCCAGTACCTTTCACTTCAAACGCCATCGCGTTATCCACTCGGCCACCATAATTAATACTTTCTTAGCACACAATGTGTAAACAAATAAACATAATAATTATTAGCTGATTGTTACTGGTGTACATGGTTGATGTAGATTGTTTAGTTTGAAGATTGTATTAATGATTGAATGTAATCAATAGAGAAAGTACTGAAAAATCAGAAAACACTAGATATCTAGTTTGCCCTCTTTTTAACACTTCTTCATGATGGAAACAGAGTTTTTCATTAAATCGAACACAAGACCTACAGTCAACATGATTAGCACAACACTTTTAAGCCAGCGAGTCAACAAGACACTAGAGGAGGAAACCGAAGGAGGAAGTTTAGTGTTGAAAGTCGAGGTAGGAGGAATAGTAGGAAGTGAAGAAGTAGATTTATTATGAATACAGTGGTCTTGAGTGCTGTTAGAGGTATGAGGGCAGTTATCACTTCCCCGTTGCCACACCGTGGAATGGTTCTTCTAGAGGTACCTGAAAAGGAAATTGGATTAGAGGTGGTCATAATGACCTGAGAGCGTGACCGTAGTGCCTAAGGGACAACTGCTTGAGGTCGGTCACACACGACCTTTATGTGAGTAATTTCTGTGTTAGTTCCGTACTTGTTGGAACCTTACCGTCGAAGACGGAAATCCGTGGGTTAAGGTAAGGTGTGCATTTTTAGGGTCGACCTTTTCTAATTCCACCGCTCCTTGTGTGATGGCAGCATCGCTGTTTTGCTGGTTGTCTGAAGGAAACACCACTGTTGTCACACCTCTGTACAGTCAGTAATACGACTTCGGACCATGGGTTTGCTGCTTTTAGTCTCACCGCTCTTCAACCGACCTACCTGTCTGGCATGGTAGGACCTTGAGGAATGATTGGTTCATCACGATAGGAAAGCCCGACCACCACGTCAAGGTAGCAGCAACGGTCGGGCAAGTCATCATTCAGAGGTTTAATTTATCAACTTCAGTCAATTAGTTATATAGAGCCGTGGGTTATCCGATCCCATTTTTGACGACATTTCCACTCTTGAAATATATGAATCCTAACAGATGAACCATGTTCTTACTCAAACAAACCTATCTCAGTTATCTCACATAATAACTGGAGACTTGTCTAAAAGTTTGGGATCGCTTTTTTAAAACTGTACTGGTATTGCAGATAGCCTTAATGTTTTAGATTTGTTTGAATGAGACAACAATGAAAGCTCACTGTACTCACATGTGTAGAAATTATTGGAATGTTAAGTACTAAAGAAGTACTCGTGGAAAAATAATGCAGTCATTGGTATATATTTCCCTTCTTATCTATTCCTTGGAAAAACGAGAGACCAATTGATTGGAATTTAAGCACGTTATATATATGACAGATAGAAAAATGATCATGCCATTTGAGATAGTAGGAAACTTGAATAACTGGACTGATATATATATATATATATATATATATATTATGAGTGTTAAATCATTATATTGCTGGTATATACATTTTGGAATTACTTTCAAGTGACTATTTCATATAAGCTATACATCGGATAACAGTGAGTTGTAAGTTGGTTGGTAGATGGGTGATTAGTGTTACTAATGCCATTCAAAGCGATGTTTATCATAGATTAAATCAGGTTTAGGTATTGGTAAGCAAAGATGGGTAGTGGCTAGCAGTGGAATCCAGGACGCGAGTTTCGTCCTATTTTGGACTCGTCAGCTGTATGTACCTGCATCTCAGAGTTGATGTTCACACTAAGTATTGTAAGTGAAACGATCAGGATAATTTACTTTCACACTGTTAAATGGACATTCATTAATTCTATGTCCAAAAATATAGTTTTATCTTTCAAGTCAGTTGTTCTATAAAGTTACCTATTTTCCCCTAATTTTGATATGATGCGTCTTATTATAAGCGATACATAGAATTTTTGTTGATCCACTGAATCTTATATACATATACAACAGAGACTGACCAGTTACAGTCCTAAAAACATCAATGGGAAGATGCAAACAAACAATACTAAGTACATTTCAACTTTACCCTATTGCACAAGCATGTGGTTATCAGGACTCAGTAGCTGTGTGGATAACGCGATGGCGTTTGAAGCGAAAGGTACCGGGTTCGAACCCCAGAGTAAACATCAACTCTGAGATGCAGGTACATATGTAGTGAACAAAACACTAGTTGGGGACAATCGAATGTATTTAAGCAAACATTACAGACTATCTCAGTAAATTCTGATTACCAAACAATGAACAGTCAATTTGCAAATTAACAACCAATTGTTTCAATCTTCACTGTTTCTCTTATTCCATCGCTCATGCATTTTCCAGACGATTGCGCTTCATTTCAGTTCTTTGCTCATCGGTCTTCTGCGAAAATACATTCTATGCCTGATCCACACCATATACTATTTATATGGATATAAGTAGACCACACCACACATACAGCTGACGAGTCCTAAATAGGACGAAACGCGTCTCAAACTGGATTCCACTGCTAGCCACTATCCATCTTTGTTTACCATATACAAAATAATTGATTAACATTGTTCTTAACCATGATCATACTTAAACAACTCTCAGATAAAAATGCTCTACAAACGAAAGTTTTAAGTTTATCAACTGATAACCAATATTTGCATGTATTGATAACCAGTTTATGATACAATGATTTAGACCAGGTATATGGAATATTTTATATTTCGAGAAGGTAATGAAATTCATTACTAGTGTCGACAGTAGTAGCTCACCTACGTCATCGAATCGGTGTTATCCAGTGAATGGTGACTATAACTAACTTCAGTCAAAGTATCTGCAGAACTATCCTTAATTGAAAAGGCTTTATCTTTAATGAAACTGTATAACTTTGTACACGTTTCTCATTGAAGTATGATTATGATGTCGATTTTCAAAGTCGGAAAATTCTTTTGGAAGGGTCTGCGTCACTTGTTTCATGTGCCTCTTGAACATAATGGTGATGATAATAATAGTCCAAGATGGATTAAACGTATGAAAACTTGGGTGGTTAATTAATTAGGGGGTCAAATATCTGTAGGCGAGAATGACAACGATTGGTTGTTTTTGCTGAGTCAGACATTAGATAGGATGACAGGTGTTATATGTGTTATATATATTTATTATAGAAGGGGTTTTGTGGAGATTTAGTATTTATCATTGTTGAAAGCGTGAGTCAATTGAAGCTAGACCACCATCGAAAACCTGGAAACACTGGACGGCCGTTTCGTCCTATTATGGGACTCCTCAGCAGTGCGCATCCACGAACCTGCTCTCGCGAGCGGGATTCGAACCCAGGACCTACCAGTCTCGAGCCGAAGCCCTTAACAGATAGACCACTGAGCTGGCATCCAACGGTGTTAATGTCTAACTTCAACTGATCCACGAAGTTGAGCAACCATTCACCAATTGTCTTCAGTGAGTTCCTATCTCACAACAGACGTGGTTTTGAACTCTTTCAACAATGATAAATACTAAATCTCCACAAAACCCCTTCTATAATTAATATAATCATATGCTCACTAGTGACTTCGAGAAGTATATCTAGGAGCTCTAATGAGAAGCAGTGACCAGTGGAGTTCAAAACCACGTCTGTTGTGAGATAGGAACTCACTGAAGACAATTGGTGAATGGTTGCTCAACTTCGTGGATCAGTTGAAGTTAGACATTAACACCGTTGGATGCCAGCTCAGTGGTCTATCTGTTAAGGGCTTCGGCTCGAGACTGGTAGGTCCTGGGTTCGAATCCCGCTCGCGAGAGCAGGTTCGTGGATGCGCACTGCTGAGGAGTCCCATAATAGGACGAAACGGCCGTCCAGTGTTTCCAGGTTTTCGATGGTGGTCTAGCTTCAATTGACTCACGCTTTCAACAATTATATATATTTCCCTATCCTTACTATGTATTGACTGTTTTTTTGTTGGATTGTGTCGGATTTCGGTGTGGAAATATATTGACGTTATAGTCAGGCTAATTTCGTGTTCTTGATCTAAGTTGTGTTGAAGTCCTGTAGAATAGACACTGGGTGGGATGAATAAAGCCTGGTTGATGTGTTAATGTGGTCAAGTAAGAGTTATTAAGGAGGATGAAGAATATTTGTAAAAGATATGGAGTGAAAACGGATTGAGAGGGTCAAAGAGTAGCTTCAAATCATCAAAGTAATGCCAAACAAAGTGAATACTTATTTTTATATGTATAGGATCAGTAGCCGGCCTATGCTCCATTGGGAGTAACAGGCGTAAGTAAGTAACCAATAGCCGTTGTCTCTGTAAAGAATTAGAGTGCTGAAAAGTCCATGATTGCCGTTCATCCAATTCTTCATTATTTATTGAGAGTAGACGAAGCATATAGTGTTCTTCTGAAATGTGCTGTTACAATTATAAGTAAATACATCAATACATTTAGATCAATTTTGTTGAAGTTATACTCTGTGAGTATGTATTCCCAGTTATCAGCCATGAATAAACTGGAAGAATGAAATATCAGCTAAACAAAGGCTTTTCGTTGATGATCGTTCAGAGGGTTTAGATCATTTTCGTTATGTCAAATTTAATCCGAAGTAGTTTTGTTATTTAGTACTTCATCTTAATTTATGTGTTATATCCGGACGAAGCATAAGTGAATGGTAACCGCTAGGATCTATTCATGGACTAATATTATATATGTTTCTATTGTATAACCATTAAGTAACTATATTATATGTATATTCATATTCATTTTGTGATAAGCTTTTATTTTACCTATGTAAGGATGGCTCGTTCATAAACTACAGGAAACCTTCAAGAAGCCCAGAAATAGCCGAAGACATTCCATCCAATCACAGCTATGGGAATATTCTAGAATGTCGACGCGTAGCCTCCCCATCGGATGGATAAGAATGACCCCTTATGTGCCTAATGGTTGACCGAAATGATGATTTACATTCAGCCAATAACTATAAATACATGAGATTTGTGTACTATATTTTGACACTGTTTTGGGGAATAAAAGTTCCTACTTACTAGTCTTCTGTCTTTTCTCTTGCGACGTTGCGGGGTTCTATCGTTCATGTAGTCCAGTAGTACGCGGCATAGTAAGCATCAAAGCTCTATATATAACAACCTATTGGCTATTATTATACGATTCACTATTCTTAAGATATTCCCAAATTATTAGTAGCACTCACAATCACAGCTACTTTTGGACCTGATTTTGTATGGTTGTTATTTTCTGTTTTATGGTACGATTCGGTCAAGTTTGTTTGTATATAAACCCAGTATGTCTAAAATACATGATTCATATGACGGAGGTTGATATTTGCGTTCTAGACTGAATCTGCTGGGTTAGGCGAGAATCTACCACCACAAAGGACTAATAAGAAGGCTGGGCTGCTCGTATAGGTTTTATGAGTCATATAAGTCGGTGTCTCTAATTGGCGATATTATCTCGTGATATATTAACAGGTCAAAAGCCATAACAATGTGTTGATGAAATCTATTGTCATTTTCAGTTATTTCTTATATCGTCATGCAGATAGGTAAATCATCATCTGACAGTCTTTAAAAACAAAATTCGAACAACACTGACCAAAATCTCTCGAAATGTAAATATTAAACAGTTCAAGAAGTACAGATCCTTATTCTCTACATAGTAATAACATCAATAATCATGTGGCTTGTCAAAAATGAAGCTAATCTTGATCCAAGTAACTATTATTAACACTCATGACTAGTTATATGATGTTTAAAAGATTTGAAATCATTTCCTTAAATGCCACATGATACAATAAAACACCTTGATTCATTGGGTTGCAACTATATTTTATCATCAGTATAGGGTTGTGGAGATTGCTGAGTTTTTATTGAGGTCATGAACGAATCACTGTTAGACCATCATTAAAAACCTGAAAGCACTGGACAGCCGTTTTATCTTAGTATGGGACTATTCAGCTGTGCATATCCCTGATTCCTCACGTGAAAGTTTAATCCAGGACGTTTGATCTTGCTCACGAATGCTTAACCTGTAAGCCATTGAGCCAGGTTTCAATGATGTTAATGTACAATTTCACTCAATCCAGGATATTACGTGACCATTTTCCATTGTCTTCAGTGGGTAACTGACTTACACCCGTCACAGCTTCTCACTAGAACTCCGAGAATTGTCATTAGTGAGCACATGGTAATTTTTCGTTATTTTGTTTTGCCTACTCTAAATAGTATAAGTAATATTTAGACATTTTATCTAATTCCCTTAATCGATAGACGGATATCTCATCTTCACCATAGGTCACTTTAGTTGGCAAAAGCCAAACGAGCTTTTTGAATCTGTGCTGAGATTTCGTCAAACACCAACCCATTAGGGCTTATCATACTTCCAAGATAAGTGAAGTTGTCCACGCGTTCGACTACTGCACTCCTTATCCTTAGTTCAGATGTTGAAGCAGATCAGTCCTGAAGCAACAACTCGCATTTAGAGGAGGAGAAACGCATCCCAAACATTCTGGAGTTATTGCCCAGTGTTAACAAAAGACTCTGCATTTTGTCAGCGTCGTCTAAGTATTCTAAGTCAATAAGTTGATCTCCTAGTAAAATATCAATTCCTGGAAATTCAAACGACGAGAACCTTATTTCCAGATGTAGGTCTATGATGAAGTTAAACAAAAATGGGGATTGTTGGACACTACTTGAGGTTGCGAAACCAGACGACATTCGTCATAAGCTCCCACTCGACTGGTAGTGTTCGAGCAAAAAGCCTTCACAAGCTTTATGTACTTCTGGCGCACACCTTACATTGACAGACACTGCCACAGAACCTCTCGGTCTACAGAGTCAAATTCTACTTTAAAGTCAAGAAAAACTATCATTGTCGGATGCCGACAAAAATGCTTGTATTTTAAGATCTGATGAATTGTGAGTACGTGGTCGATGCAGTCACGACTAGGTCTTAGCCTGATTTTCTCGTGTTTGGAGTCCACTAGTCTTTGCTAGGCATGTGATAGTTATTGAGGCAAGTATTGTAGATGCTATATTAGTCAAACTAATCCCTCTATGGTTATCACACGATGGTTTTGATCCCTTCTTATATATTGGGACAATCAGTGATTGTGACCAATCAGATGTGATTACATCTAACTACCAGATTTTAGCCAAAATATTAGTCAACCAATCGCTAAAACTGAAACACAATGTTTGAAGACCTCTGGAGTTAATCCATCTGGACCAGCCGTTCTCGTTTCGGATTAGTTATAGCCTTTTGAACTTCAGGTAGGGTCGGGGGGCTTACTTCAATGTTTCATTCAGGCTGTTTGGGAATGGTGGGTAACTGTAGAGTAACTAGAGGTCAGCTAAACTGCTCCTTAAAGTGTTCTGCTCATTGTTCTAAATGTCTGGGCTGAGAGCAGATAAGTGTCCTCTTTTTCTGAGATTGTCTCACTTGCAATTGACTTCTTAATTCCGGTTTCTTTTATTAGTCTGGAAAGCTGTTTGGTGTTACCTACAACCAATGCCTTTTCCATCTCTATTGCTTTCGTTGCCCACCACTGCTCGCAGTCGTTCCTTAGACTTTTGGTTAACTTAGGTCTTGTTTATTTTCGCTTCTCATCGCGTTGGTAGCCTGGAGGGATAAGTTTACGAGAGCCCAACAGTGTAATAGACTCGTTTTCAGAACTACAAAAGTGTGACCTCGGTTGTTCCTGGAATCTGCTTTCGGCTTTCTCGTCCCTCAGTTCGATGTTAATGGATCTTCCTAATGTGGTTTCTCTACGTTCAGTTAGGTGCAAGCAAAAGAGTACTCGTATTAAAGCATAATCAGAGTCTAACCATGTACTCCAGAACAAGAAGCAGTATTTTATCGAGCCTCTTCAACAATGACTGATGGCAATACGGTCTATTTGAGTCCATCGTTGGTTTGGTGCAGGTGGTCGCCATGTTAGACGATGTCTCTCCTTATACTTTAAATTAGTGTCTGCCAGAAATAAATAATTATCTGACCATAGTTTCAGAAGACGGTCACCATTATTTGTTCTCTGAGCCGCAATACTAAAATACCCACCTAGATGTCTTTCTGATGCGTTTAAGCTACCTACTTGGATATTGAAGTCACCTGCTACGAGTGCTATGTCTAGCTTTTTGAAAAAGTTCTGAAGGCTTTCTGTAAAATTCATCAACGACGAAAAGGCAACAAAGTGTGTCACTATCCTTCCGAGTTCTTACGGAGCCGTTTAACCGAACAACACATAGGTGACTGTTAACAGGGATCCATTCTAATAGTGCTTGTCCTGCCCTCGTACTTAGTGCTGTGCTTGCACCGGCCAGTCCACAAGAACTAGTCATGGGGTCGCCAGATATACGGAGGGTGTATCTCATCGGCTTTTCGTTTTGTCGAGGTGCGGTCAAGTGAATGACAAAATTAGGATCTTGTATATGTTTAGTAGACACAGCATACATCAATGTTATGATATTCTAGGGTTTTAGCCAAGGAGACCTGTTGTTCGATTTGACATAGCGTGCGTATGTTGAAGGCTTCAATGTGTAGTTTGGAGCGAGGTTTTAGTAGACCTGGGACAGTGTTTCATACACTGCAATATGAATACAGTGATTTTGAATGTCGTTGGAGGTATGAGGGCGATTATCGCTTCCCGGTCGCCCACACCGCGGGGGACGGAGATCCGTGAGGTAAGGTGAGGTGTGTATTTTTGCCGTCGACCCTTGCTTGTGGGAACGAAGCGTCGCTTTATGCTGGTTGCTCGAGGGAATCACCTTACTGCCGTCACACCTCTCTACGGTCAGCAATACGACTTCTCTCTCGGACCTTGGGTTTGCTGCTTTTAGTATTATCGCTCTTCAACCGATTTTCGGCACGATAGGACCTTCAGGAGGGATTGTTTCAGACGGTATAGCTCGATTGATTCATCACGAAAGGCAAGCCCGACCACATAGCCAAGATAGTATCAATGATTGGCCATACTTCAACGGAAAAATATGTTATTTGAATTAATATTAAATAGATGATCGTAGTAACTTTGGTTCTCAATGTCATTATTTGATTCCACATTGAAAGCGCTCCCAATATAACCATATATTCACTTAGCTCTTGGATAACTTGCTATAAAAATGGAACTCCTAGTTCCGGCTGCAATGTCAAGCTGCATAGTTTATTCTGGCTTCCGGACAAGCTAATTTATTCACCCTTCTCGAGTCACATTTTAACCTTGTTAATTATTGGCTTATCAACTTTGACTGTTTTTATGTGGGTGTATGTGTATGCATTTCTTATCTTACACATGAAATGTCTGTAACTTATTTTTGTCTGACTATAAATATCGACTCACGCTTGTTTAGAGTGAGTCGACTTACACGCCATCTCCACCATTCATCATTTCGTTTTATTTCGTTTCTTTAGTCGTCTGTTTGGATCAACGACTGTATGAAATATACCTATTCAAACCTCATTCATGTATTTGACTTATTTAATTCCGTTACTCACTAACGCGAGTTAAGTCGATGATTATATATGAGAATATTCAGGATGCATATTTCGACAGCAATCATTTCAATAACAATCAGTTATACGATGTTACTGGAGTAAGATCTAGAGCTACAAAACCCTACATCTAATTTTAAAGTCAGAATGGATAGCATCGGGTGTGAAAATATCATGGGACGACATATAGTGACTGGGAGAAACGACCGAGGATGGTGAGAGATTTGCAAACTTTTATGCATTCAACTAAATGGCTTTAGGCTGCACAATATTCTTCCACAGAGAAGCAATCGAGAATCGGGGGAATATAA